TTTGTAGGTTTTATAAGTAAATTAATTTTATGTTTTGTGTTTTTTGTTGTTATTTTTTTTGTGTGATTAAATTAATTTTACTTTATTGATTTAACAATACATTTTTATAGAATAAGGTATAGGTTTTTTAGCTCTTCAGCATTAAAACAAATTCAAAGAGGTTTAGGATCATTATTAGTTCTACTGGTTCAACTGATAGTGGTTTTTCAATATTTCAGGCTTTTTACCTTAGACCTCCCAACAATGTAGTTCAGTACAGCATACTGTTTTTTGAATGATAGGGAAGGAGTTTTAGCTAATAGTGATGTTTTTTAGTTGAAATTGGTTTTTTTAGTTGATACTGGGCATTTGAGTTCATTGGCATTATCAGTTGTAGTGGTTTAGCTGATATTGGTTTCTTAGCATTTTGGATTTTTTAGCTCAGCCCTCCCAATAATTTAGTTTGGTCTAGGATATTGTGTTTTAAATGATGGGTAAGGATTTTTCGCTAATGCATTTCCTATTTATTACTTCATTTGATTCTCCATCAATGTCTCATTCAACTTTCTAATTGCATCAATTGTGTTTTAAGTATTTTATTGTTATTATTGATTTCTCATCATGTTAAAGATAATACTATATATTATTTTAATTTGTCTGAAGTTTTCTTAATCAGTAATAATGTAATTTATAAGCAAAAGAGAGTAAGGTTCTTGAAGTGTGAAAACGGTGAATACGAGTGATGAAAGATCAAGCAACCTAAAGTTAATTTTTCTAAAACCCATAGTCATTAAGGCATTTGCTAATAAGTTCATGTTTCAATTTAGCCATGCACATTTAATGCAAGGCATTTTTCTTTACTTCTAATGACATGTTTTTAGAAGCACAGATGGGCTCTCTATATGCAAAAACTTGTGGATTAGGACTAACCATGCATGTTTAATGCAAGACATTTTCTTCAGTTTTACTGACATATTTTTAGGAGGATAGATGGGCTCTATATGTGTTAAAACTATTGGATTAGGAGCAGTAGTTTCAGGAATCAACTTATAGTGAATCTAGGCAAAAGCATTTGGCCTAGGTAAAGAACTTAGATCTATGCAATCTAATTTCTTAAGGGTTGCAATACAACTATTCTTTTCTTGCTTCCTCTCCTTTTTTTTTTTTTTAATTAATGCTTTCTTGCGTCCTCTCTAGATAATTGGGTAATACATCTTCACTACATTTGTTTATCTTGTCATCCATTTGAAGAAGTTATTCATGGTGGATAGTATGAATTTTGCTTATCTAATAAAATTCATTTTTTATAGTAAATAAATTTCATAGAGCCACTTGGATAATGAAGTTGTAGTTTTTCTCCTGTGAAAATCTAAAATTTTTGAGATTTTAGACCAAATACCTTGATTTTATTTTCTAAAACAACAAGATACCTAGAGAATTTTAACTTTGAAATCCTAGTTCAGAGCAGTTTGCCCTATTCAATCCCACATTAGGTTCCCTATGCTAGATGGTCTTTAGAGCACATAAATCCAGTATCTTCTCTACTTGTTTTTTTTTTTCCATTCAGTACTATTGTTCTTGTCATCTCTATAAGTTAATGAAAGCGTTTCTGAAGAATCCATGAAATGCCAAAATTGGAGGCACCATTCAAAACAAATACTTCATCCATTTAAGAAATTTTATAAAATTTTAACTGAAGTAATTAGTTTTAACAATTATAAGATTTTCTAGGACCATAGTAGGAATTTTCCTTGATAAGAAACAAAGAGGAATCAATATACAAATGATTTAGTGGGATGAAAGAAGTAGAATAGTTAAGGGAAAACAAAGAACATTATGAAGCACAATTTACAATGTAAAATATGCAGTCATAGATTCTTTTAAGACTATATATTCAATTTGCAGCCATTCAGATAATGGAAATTAAGTGGCTCTTTTAGGAGAAATTCAAAACTGGTTATAGAAACCCTACTCAAATCCATCCCCCCCCCCCCCCAAAAAAAAAAAAAAAAAAAAAAAAAACTATGAAGAGACTTCCCTCCTTTCTTATCAAACCCTCTAAAATAAAAGTCAATGACTCGAAAGAAAAAAAAAAAACTACTTGTGTTAGCACCAATTTATTTGATTCTTGAAGCTTTGACCCAAATTGAAACCACATCTGATATTTAGTGGGCTGAAAGAAGTAGATTAATGAAGCTTTGACCCAAATTTCAGCCCACAAATTATTTAGTGGACTGGAATAAGTAGAACACTGAAAAGAATACAAAGAACAGATATGAAGTACAATTTACAGTATAAAATACGCAGTCCATAGATTTGTTTACCTCTAAATATTCAATTTACAGCCATTTTTGCCCTATCCAGTCCTACATTAGGTTCCCTATGCTATATGGTTTTGTATTATTCTGCTTCTCTAATAGTGAATTGGTACCTCACACAAAACTCTTTAGGCTAGAGTGAAATAGATACTTCATCCATTTAGGAAACTTGATAGAACTCTAACTGAAGTAATAGGTTTTAACAATTATAAGATTTGCTTGGACCACAGTAGGAACTTTCCTTGATAAGAAACTAATAAGTATCAGAATACAAATTATTTAGTGGGCTGAAAGAAATAGAATAGTGAATTAAGTGAGTACAAAGGACAGATACGAAGCACAATTTGCTATGTAAAATATGTAGTCCATAGATTCTTTTAAGTCTATATATTTAATTTGCAGCCATTCAGTTCTTAGACTACCAAGCTGTTAGATTATTAATTGTCAATTCACAAATGACGGTCTATAATATAAATTTATAATTAATAAATAGTGATTTAGGGGGCATTTATTTTTAACTCCATGCTAGCCAAAGGAGGCTATCATTCCTCCCTCTCATTCGACATTTTCCCATTTCTTTACTTTGTGTTTTGTGCAACGTTTGTCTCACCATTGGTTAAGTCATGCTTCTTTCCTTGCTAAGTTCTTTCCCCCTCTATGGTTTTGTATTTCAATCCCTAAATGATTTTGATGGCCAGGTTGTTTAGCAATGTCTAAATGACATCCGAGGAAATTTTGACAAGCTAGTTTTGGAATTAAGGCAATCAATGTATTTCTCTCCTTATCCCATCCATATTAATGGCAAATTTCATAGAATATCTTAAAATCAGAAGCTTAATTTTAGTTTCATAAAAGATTGACCATAGGGCTGACTTCCAAGGCAAGTCTTCTTTATCTTGCCACTCATAAATTGAATTCGACTAGGATCCCCCCCCCACACACACATCCCCCCATGCATTGCTTAGTATCATAGTAAAATCTTCAACAATAATGGAAATATGGGTTTAAATTTGAGACTTGCCACTTTGCCCAAGAAAATGACAATGGGTTAGGTTCATATCAGTAGTAATTACTTCATAGATTTGGTGTTCTATGAGAACAATAAGACTTTAACTATATATGAACTTTCATCTATACCCAAGATACGAAAATAAAATTGAACATCGCCATCAATCTTGAATGAAATTGTTCTTTTTTCTTTTTCAAAAATAAAGAGACCACATTTTCAAGCTTGCCTACTAAGATTTTACCATTATAATTTTTTTCAACTTTAATCTTTTCTTGCATTGTATATAATCAAGAATTTAATAGTCTATTTTTTTTTACAATTTTACAAAATAGGTTTGTCTTCACATTATCTCATTTATGAGATCAATCCTCATTTATAATTTATAAGTTTAATTTTTATTATTTTAAGCAAAGTTAAATATCTTCTGATTTGTTAATCCATGTTACTTTACCATATTTTATATATATTAAAGCAAAAGTAATGCTCTCATTTTGCATGCATGATCCTTGTTCTTTGCACATCATTTTTCCCACTCTCCCCATCTTCTCTATCTTACATTCCTGTTGCCTCTCTCTTCCCGCTCTCCCTCTCATCTCTACCTCTCTGTCTTTCCGCTTCCTTGCTTCCCTCTTTATCTTTCCTCCCTCATCTGAATCCCCTTCTTCGGTTTTAACCCATGGTTTCCGATTTGATTTGCAGTGCGAAGTCTTCCAAGAATCCAGTGTCGCCGAGCTCGTGTCGGCCATGGCCGGTGGATGGAACTCGCAGCTAATCCTCAAAGCGTGGCATAGAGAAGGAATCGTGCCAGAACCGGAAGTAATCGTGGGAGAGGCGGAAGAAGTGATGGAAGCACTCCCTGGCATCGATTTCCTGGTGGTGGATTGCCGGCGAAAGGACTTCGCTAGGGTTCTGAAACATGCTAGATTGAGCACCCGGGGTGCAGTCTTGAATCAGGAACGTTGATTAGGAATCCGGCGAAGAGTATTTGTTCCGGATATGGAGTTATGCCTCTAATATTTTTCATTTTCCTGTTTCTTTAAAACGAAGAAAAGTCTTCACATGGATTCAAGTCGTTCTTTCTTGAGTTCTCTTTCCTGTAATTTCTTCTGAAAGTAGAGGGATGGGAGGTTGCAGTCATATCTGATTGGACTGAATATTTAATTAGAGAGAGAGAGCGCAAAAATCAGATTCAGATAGTGCCCAATCCTTAGTATTCACCACCATCGATAAGTTCTGATCTATTCTCTCGTGTTTTGCAGGTGATGGCGACGCCAGGCTTCGATTGGGTTCTTGAGAGCTCTACCCCCCTCCCTCCCTAAGAAGCATCTGGACCTTCTCATAGTGAGTTGGCAGATAGCCATGCGGATTGCTTCCAGTATCCTTGTTGGCTCGCTCCCATTCATAACCTGTTGGTGAAAGCTTGCATGCAGTTAATGAGCAAGAGCCTGGGGTGAAACTGCAAGCGAGGATGATGCACTTCTCTCCATCCCACTGTTTATTGTTCTCCAGAATCCTAGCATGAGTTGTGAGATCCTGTAAAAGTAGAATGGAAACTCAATCAAGGCCTGATTTTATAATACAGAACTGGAACCACTACAGCCTGCAGTCTGCACGGCCAGGTAAGAAAGCATGCTTAGTTAAAAACAAATACTTGAGGGGACAACTGCGGAAGCTCATTTGGTTGTGTATGCATCCATCCCAATGGCTCTAGATCATTTAAGAAATCATGCTCAGGAAGAGCAGATGGAAGATGGACCTGCTGATGAGTCCCTCACTGTGGTGGCATGGCAATACAGCGGATTTCTTTAACCTTAGGATTGTCTGTGGACTTATACCATATAGGTACCCTGCAATTTGAGTACGCAGATCTGCTATACAGATAAACTTCTTCAAGATATTTTTTTGGCATGATGTATGCGTATCCCGTTTCCTGTTATCATAAAGTTTCATTCAAGGTCAGTAAGCTCTCCATGTTCAAGCTAAAGCGGAACAATAAAACCAGTAAATAAAATACCTTGGTGTCCTCCGAATTCACATAATTATGATTGACTCGGAGATAAAGATTTGTGGCTGAGATTGCTCTCACACGCCAATCCGTTTTGGACCCAAAAGCCTGCTGCTCATATGGACTTGTGGTGGTGACAATAAGTTCATCACCATGCACATTTGTTGTCCTTGTTGTGACAGCTGTAAGCTGGCTTGCTTCTTTTGCCTGCAAATGAAATTCCAGAAGCAACAAATCAGCAAAGCGACGAGCTTAGACAATTCTATTCAAGCATAGGAGCTAAATATTACCTGCTTCTCAATCTCTACTATCTGTTGCCTCTGTTGTGAAGGTGGAGTAATCTCAGCTCCCAGTATTATGTCACGAATCTCAGATTGGGTAAGAGTTGAAGTATTCACATTATTCTTCTTGGCATAATCTGATGGTATAAGATCTCTCAATGCAACCTCAGCCTGCATGATAGAAGATCTTAGCAACAAATAAGTAAACATGAACAGAGGCACATTTTTACAATACTAGGATATGGGCAGGTAAAAATTTAACTAGGTCTCTCAAATATTTTGAAGTTACTTTCATCCATTGATCATCTGTGAGAGAAGACCAGATATGGTGTGGTTCAGTGATAATAGTTTTGTCGGGCTTCAGTAACATTTTTGCCTTCTCATTGTTTACATGTAGTGCACGCAGAATTAAGACAAGACGAGAGAATGCGGTATATGATGAGATGCTTTTAAGTTCTGATCTGTTCTCTCGTGTTTTGCAGGTGGTGGAGGCGGTGGCGACACCAGGCTTCGATTGGGTTCTTGAGAGCTCTACCCCCACCCTCCCTCTTTCTATCCTCTCTTACGAATTTTCCCTATGACGATCTGTCCCTTGTGTGTTCTGACTTCTGAGTCTTCTGACCACCCCACTTAAATCAAAGAATCCCACACCTCTTCAATTGATCTTTATCGCTTAATTCGGGTTCCTTCCTTTTTTAATCTTCCCTTTCTCTCTTCTTTTGGTTTACACTCGTTGTGGTGGAAGCTGCCCTTCGTTCTTTTTCAAAAATTCAGTTGGGTTCTTCTATCTCTGTTTCATCTCAACTACGCGGCTCTCTTTGTTGTATGCTTTTCTTTTGTTGAATTGGCGCGTCATTTTTTTATCCAGGTCTGTAAATTTCGTTTATGGGCTGCAAATTTTCTGAGTTCTGAATCGAGAAAATGGCACAAGGCTATGGAGTTGAGCTCTACTTCGACCCTGCACTGGAAAATCAGGTCTTGAAGGCTTGGAATGTCCTTGCTCGTCGCCGGATCAGTACCCAGCTTATTGAGATGGAATCTCGACCATACATTACTCTTTCCTCTATCCCTACCCTTGATCCTCCAAAACTGGAAAATGTCGTGAAGAACTTTGCTTCGAAGCAAGAACCGTTGCCTTTGTTATTTTCTATTATGGTAAGTGCTCCCTTGAGGATAGTTTCATATGTTGAAGACATTATTCTACAAAACTTGTTGGTTCACAAGATGAATAGCATGCTTGATGACTTTGTTTTGTTTGTAAGATGGTTCCATTATGATACATATAAAATTTGTATTTCTTTTCGGAATTATATGTTTGTTTCTGTACTCATGCATATAAACTTTGTATTTCTTTTCTTTGTTATATAATATATATTTTTCATAGATTAATTGGTTCATTACATTATAGACCCGGATTCGGATCCCACAATTATAGCTTGTATTGTTCTTTTTTTATTCTCCCACTTACTCGTTATTACTCACCCGTGTTGAGCACGGGCGCCCCCTGCTAGTACTTGATTACTGTGCTAAGAAAAGCATATACAATATAAACTGAAAAAAGAGGACAAAAATGGAAAAATGTCTCATTATTTTTTTATGTCTAAATATTATACCATTTAAGATTAGGATAAATTTCTTAAACTACCCCTACTGTTCACGAAATTGACGTGCGGTACCCTTATTGTTTAGATATTGTCTTGTGGTACCCTTAAGTTTTCTGACAATTGTCATCATCGTTAAATCGAGACAAAAAAAAGTTGATTTTATATTTTTACCCTTCCATTAACTCTCAACCAGGTTGAACCCATTTTGCAAATTACTTTCTTATCCTTCCTTAATGAGAGATCGATTAAAGGATTATTCTCGCCTGAAAGTTGTTTATCATTGTTCCAGCAGAGAAGGATATCATCGTTCTAGCGGAGAAGATCTACAATCATCTTCCATGACTTTCGCTGCAAACTCTGGCAAGTGGTACAACAGTGCACAACAGGTTTGTGTGGAAAGCTATGTGTTTCCATCATGTTTTTTCAGTGGAAGGACGACATTTGTCATCTCTTTGAGCTAGTTCTTTGAGTTTTTTCTTACAACTTTTCACCATTTTGCAGTGGGATTCAAAAATGAGTTATTTAAAAGCCTGCGTTTTCTATCATCACAGAGGTATGGTCCAACTTTTTATGTGTTTTTTAGCTAGGTTTTTGGGGAGCACTCACAGAGATTCATTGACAACCC